AGCCCCAGGTGCCAGCTGTCAGAATAAAATAGCTGTCAAGGGATATACCATACTATATTTATTATGCATGGGTTCAGCCTGTGGGCTGAACAAAAGAACACATGCAAAATATTCAGTTTGCTATAACTAATGGCATTAAAGTGTATTCATATTTTGCTTCCACGCATATTCTGTAGTTGTATATGTACTGTCCATGGGTGCAGCCATATTTGCTCAATGTATACATAGGCACAGTATCCTGCTTTGCAGTGCTAAGCAACGGTTAAGGGTGTATGCCTACTACATGCGAGAACTCTAGAGAGGGTTCCAAGCCATTAGCTGCCGGAGGCAGCCCCATTGAAAGAAATGGGAGGCTGCTGGATCCTGACCACTTGAATTTAATTGCTTGTGTATTGATCACATGTGAGTGATTGGCCTGAATGCAGGCTGTCTGCATCCAGGGCTAATCACCTGCATGTGATCACATGTTTAACCTCCCATGTAGTGGAGGTCGGGTGCATTTGCAGGTGTGAATGCACCCTTACGGCCCATTCACACTGGAAACTACACAGTTTTGCATGCACAGTAACGTGCATTTCACACACATATTTTATGTACCTTTGCATGCGTTTGCAGTGCATTTTTCCTAAATTTGCATTTCCTTTGAGGTCACTTACGTCTTCCTTCCTTTTTGCTTTGCAGTGCATTTGAGCGCATTTCTGTGTACTTGCAATGCACACAAAATGTGCTTGCTGTACTTTTTTTCACTGTACTGCAATAATGTGAACTATGCTCATATAATAACTTTGATTGTGGACTGTCTATGCAGTTGGAGTACAGTAAAAAAAATGCATCCCACTGCATCTAGTGTGAATGGGCCCTTAAAGGATAAGTTCACCTTTGTAAAAAAAATGATAAATGCAAATCTTTTTGCAGGTAAAAAAATGTGTATTTATTATTTTTTTTACTAGGAGCCTAGAAAGCATTGCACCCGCGATCAGCAGATCGCAGGTGACATGCAGGACTCCTGCAGACCTGTCTGTATGTCTGCATGCTGATACCTCATACAAGCAGGCAGGCATGCATGAAAATGAACTGCCACAGTGCTCAACAGTGCCATGGTAGTTCATTGAGAAGTACAAGCAGACAGCCACAAAGGCTGTCGGGACTTTATTATTATACAGGACTTATATAGTGCCGACAGTTTGCTCAGCGCTTTACATTATGGAGAAAGACAGTACAGTAACAATACAGTTCAATACAAGAGGGATTAGAGGGCCCTGCTCCTTGGAGCTTACAATCTAGGAGGGAGGGGATAGTGGTACAAGAGGTAATCAGCGGTGGGGGATGGAGTGGTAGGAGGAGTAGGGGATTCCAGTATTAGCTGGGGTCAGGGTAGGCTTCCCTGAAGATATGGGATTTCGGAGTGCACCTAAAAATGAGCAGAGTAGGCGATAGCCTGATAGCTTGGGGTAGGGAGTTCCGGAGGATGGGTAAAGCCCTTGAAAAATCCTGGAGATGAGCATGGGAGGAGGAGGCAAGGGAGCTAGAGAGTAGGAGGTCTTGCCAGGAGCGGAGAGTACGGTTTTGGTGGTATTTAGAGACAAGGTCGGTGATGTAAATAGGGGCAGTGTTATGAACGACTTTATAAGTCAGTGTTAGTATTTTGAATTGTATCCGTTGGGCAATTGGAAGCCAGTGGAGGGATTGGCAGAGAGGGGTGGCAGATACAGAGTGGTTAGTAAGGTGAATGAGTCTGGCAGCAGCATTCATGATGGACTGGAGTGGGGATAGCCTGCGATGAGGTAGGCCAGTGAGGAGGGAGTTACAGTAGTCAAGGCGAGATATAATAAGGGATTGAATGAGTTGCTTAGTGGTTTCCGAGGTTAGGAACGGTCGTATCTTGGATATGTTGCGGAGGTGAACTCTACAAGAGTTTGTCAGTGATTGGACCTGGGGCTGAAAGGACAGATTGGAGTCTAGGATTACACCTAGTACCCTGGCGTGAGGGCTGGGACTGATGGTAGTGTTGTTGATCTTGATGGAGAAGTCGGGGGGGGTCACGGGCTGGGGGGAATACTAGAAGCTCAGTTTTGGAAAGGTTGAGTTTGAGGAAGTGGAGTGACATCCAGTCTGATATGACACTTAGTAGGCTGGTGATGCGATTGGAGACTGAGGGGGTGAGGTGAGGGGTAGAGAGATAGATTTGTGTGTCGTCGGCAGAGAGATGGTAGTTGAAGCCGTGGGAGTTTATCAATTGGCCAAGAGAGAAGGTGTAGATGGAGAAGAGGAGGGGTCCAAGGACAGAGCCTTGAGGGACCCCGACAGAGAGAGGGAGTGAAGGGGAGGTGGCAGCATTATAGGTAACACTGAAGGAGCGCTGCGATAGATAGGAGGAGAACCAGGAGAGAGCGGAGTCTCTGAGGCCAAGAGAGTGCAGTTTTTTGAGAAAGGGGGTGGTCAACTGTGTCAAAAGCCACAGAGAGGTCAAGTAGTAAGGAGTATAGTATAGTGGTCATTGGTTTTGGTGGTTAATAGGTCTTTGAGTTTGAGTAGGGCAGTTTCGGTGGAGTGTAGGGGGAGGAAGCCTGACTGTAAAGGGTTGAGAAGGTTGTTGTCAGTGAGATGGGAGCTCAGGCGATTGTAGACTAAGCGTTCTAGGAGTTTAGAGGTAAATGACGGTAGGGAGATGGGTCTTAGGTTGTTCAGGTTGGAGGGGTCCAGGGAGGGTTTCTTAAGTATGGGAGTGATGTGCGCGTGCTTTAGAGGGGAGGAGAAGGTACCGGTGGAGAGGGAAAGATTGAAGATGTGAGTGAAGGAGCATAGGATGGAAGAGGAGGGGGGGGACCGCAGGAGTTGTGAGGGGACAGGGTCCAGGGGACAGGTGGTGAGGCGGGCTTCGGAGAAAATCTTAGTGACCTCTTCGGTGGTAGTGAGGTCAAGGGAGCAAAGTGTTGAGGGGGTTATTGTGTGAGGAGTGCTAAGTGGGGTGGGTGTCTGAGAGTGGCGAAGTCCCTACGAATTGCGTTGATCTTGTTTTTGAAGTGGTTGGCAATCTCGTGGGTGATAAGTGAGGTACTGGGTGGAGGCGGAGAAAGTAGAGAGTTAAAAGTAGAGAAGAGCCGGCAAGGACTGGAGGAGAAGGTATTAATGATGGTAATAAAGTAGGCTTGTTTGGCAGAGTGAAGGGAGGAAGTGTACATTAAGAAGGCAGATTTATAGCGGGTGAACGCTTGTTGGGATTTGGTTTTACGCCAAAGTCGCTCCATCGCACGTCTATGTCGTTTGAGGTTTCTGGTGTGGTCGGTCTGCCAGGGTTGTAGCGGTCAGGGCCTAATGCTTCGTGTTGTTGGGGGTGCGAGCGAGTCTAGAGCGGCTGAAAGCGAGTCGTTGTAGACAGTTGTGGCCAGTTCAGGGCAGGACAGGGGATGGATGCCGTCGTAAAGTTGGTCAGTTGCAGAGTGGAAGGGAGCAGGGTTCCAGTTCTGGAGGTTTCTGCTGGTAATTGTTTGCCGTTTGGAGGGATAGGTGTTTGAGGACGAGGAGATGGAGAAGGTGATGAGGTTGTGATCAGAGAGAGGAAAGGGGGTGTTTGTGAGATTGCAGGGAGTGCAAAGGTGAGAGAAGACAAGTCAAGAGTGTTCCCGTCATAGTGAGTGGAGGACTGTATGCACTGTGCTAGTGCAAAAGAAGAGGTTATGTGGAAGAGTTGGGATGTAGCCGGGATATTGATGTTGATAGGGATGTTGAAGTCTCCAAGAATGATAGTGGGTAGCTCAGAGGAGAGATAGAAGGGTAGGCAGGCGGCGAAGTCATCAAGAAAGCGGGACACGGGTCCAGGAGGCCGATAGATCACTGCAATCCTCAGAGAGATTGGAGAGAATAGCCAGATGCAGTGGGTCTTGAAGGAGGAGAAGGGACTTGTAGTTTTTCATTCACGGAATTCTGTGAATGAATGATGCGGAAAACCGCACAGCCACGTCTTTTTTGAATTGTGACAGCAGACACGGGGAGAAGATGCTTGGCCTGCTGTCACAGTAGGGTTGGTAGGGGGCAGATGCAGTGCTAACATGTTACATATTACACCGTGAATACACGTGTAACATGTAACATGTTAGAAAAGGCAAACCTATCCTTTAATGCAATTTCTTATGCAAGTCTGTGGATCAATAGCCCGGCTTGGGAGTGAGCTATAGCAAGTGGCAGTACTTTAATACTGCTTTAATACACTAATGTAAGGAAATAAAGCATCTGATGCCTTACCCATTTTTAAAGCTTGTAGACTTTTTTATTTTCTTGTTACTCAGCATCATCTGTCAACCATGAGTCTCATAATGAAAACTCTGGAAACAAACCAGCACCTTCTCCAATGGTAAGGGTTTCTATTTTATGAACTTTCACCAACAGAAAAAGGGACCAATAAGTCCATATGTTCACCTGGCAGGGACAAAACCAGGTCTGACATTTGCCATTGTAAAGCACTTGTTTATAGATGTAGGAGGGCTATTTACTAAAACTGGAGAGTACAAAATCTGGTGCAACTCTGCATAGAAACCAATCAGCTTCCAGATTTTATTGTCAAAGCTTAGCTGAACAATTTCAAGTTAGAAATTGATTTGCTATAATGCACAGCTGCACCAGATTCTGAGTGCTCCAGTTTTGATAAATCTACCCCCATAGTATATATTCATCTGTTGTTACTATTACCAGCAGCTCATGGCTGTTTAATATTACCTCCCAGTGCTTCCTTATCTGTCTGAGCATATACTATAATAGAGCTTTCCATACAGATTAATTGCACTGCTAAATTGCATTGACATAAACAAATTTATTCTGATGAGGTTTCTTACATAATTTACAAACAGTAAAAAATTAAGAAAAACAGTATCTCTTGCATTTGGGTTCAGTCATAATATATTAAATAGACACACACACACACACACACACACACACATACCACATATATATATATTATATATCTTTTCTTCACATCCCTGAGTAGATCAATAAATCCTTGTAGATTATTCTCTGATGGCTATGAAGCAGATTTGTATTCCAAAATTTTCACCGTCTCGAATATGGGAGTAAAATTTATCGGGATGGCAGGAGGTGCAAAGGGTGACATTTTGGCTCCTGTCTTCAATGGTGTCATCTTGAATATTCTGAGGCAGAATGCCCCCACGTTCCAGGAGAACACTAGGAATAAATGAGAAGTCATTATCACTTATGGGAAGGTTTAACGTGTTTCCATGAAAAAAAGCAATGCTTAGAGTTCCTTCATTCAAAACATATTTAAAGCTGATCTCCAGCCCTACCTTCCATCTTGCACAGTTCTACAGGCTTCGCTCCTCTACCTAGTATTCTTACACTGATTTTACTGCACACTGTCAGCTTCCCACAGAGTGCATTAAGAGCTGTAGCAATTTAGACAAAGTCTTTTCATTTCCTTGTTGGAGGACATCCAGTAACATTTAGTTCTTTTCTCCTCAAGCTTATTGCCCCTGGTCCTCCCTTTTATTCTTCGGAATTCAGGTCTCAGCATGAATGCTCAGAATCACATGTGGGCATTACCTAGGGTGGTCTGCATGCAATATAGTCTACATAGAAATTCACACTTCTCCAGAATGATATGCACCCATCAACACATTTTGATATTTGATTAACTCCTCCCAAGAGCCAACCCACTGCTTACATCAGGGGCAGAGGACTCTTGAGAGGGTTACTGAGGTAAGGTGATGTGCAGTTTTCAGGAAGCACCCCTAGAGAAGCACAGAGGCCCAGTGATTACATAATTGGGTCTAAAATAATGTATGTAATGAAAATGGAAGGTTTGACATTAATCATTTCATTACCATATGCGGGGGGTGGCAGGGAAGATTACATTTAAGCAAATTAACTTTAGCTTTAATCATATTTGGGTGCCTGTATTACTGTATATATTACATTTCAACAATTCCAGTTCTTTGTAGCCCCAGCAAGCCAGAAATAGTCTGAATTGTTGTGAGTCCTGCTGGGTTTTTAAGAAAATTATTAAGGAAGATTTTCATCTAATGCACAGAATTATGCTTGCCATATAGTGTATAGCTGACCATTAAGAAGTGAACAATCCACTATTCAGTACATATAGACTGATCCCCTCTTTTTCATTGGGCAGAAAGGAGGTGCACCAAATCATCAATATGAAATTAAAGTTTCCAACCAAAAACTTGGAGTAGTGGGATGAGGGAAGCTAGTGTCTCAACAGTTCATGTTCCATACAGGGGGAAAAAACTGAAAAATGTTGTCTAAAACATTTAATTATGTGACATAACTGCTTCACTATGGGTGCCTAAAGGAGATACATTTCCTCCAAACTTCCTCATGTAATAACAAAATAGTGAAGGGACAAAACAGTAGGCTGCTCATCAGCATGCTCACAACCAGTGCAGGGCCATGGGACCTCAGACCTCAGGTATTGATGACATCAGAGGATGCTGGGATTCAGTCTAGCAGTGGAGAGGAGCATGCTGGAGAGATGTGTCAGACAGGTAAAACTTATTTTCTGAGTCCTCGAGACATAAACAAGTATTTATTCCTTTCAGGGTGCAGAACCACTGCAAGAGAGGATTTTTACTTATCTTGTAGTTCAGCATTAAGGAACCCTTATGGAAGAAAAATATATTTTAAATATATTTTAAAAATATTCTTTTCAATATTTCATATATTTATATATATATATATATATATATATATATATATATACACATATCATTGGTGTCAGTGGGGGGTGGAATAGTGCCCCATCATTGGTGTCAGTGGGGGGAGGAATAGTGCCCCATCATTGGTGTCAGTGGGGGGGGAGGAATAGTGCCCCATCGTTGGTGTCAGTGGGGAGGAGGAATAGTGCCTCATTGTTGGTGTCAGTGGGGGAGGAATAGTGCCCCATCGTTGGTGTCAGTGGGGGGGGGGGGAATAGTGCCAATAGTGTTCCAGCATGGTGCTGCTACACACTTACTGGCCGCTCCCTCACTCGATTTTTGGGGGGCGGCTCGGCTCCGCCTCCTCGCCGGTGATTGGCCGCCTGTGTGCCTTTCCTGAGCTACAGTTCTGGCGCTCAATCACCGGTGAGGAGGCGGAGCCGAGCAGCCACGCGGACATCGAGCGGCCAAATAGAATGAAGGAGCAGCTGCGCTTCCTGGACCGGATCGTCGTGGGACCGGGACCGGAGCCAGGTAAGAAACAGCAGCCCCCTGCCCGCCCCTGTACTTAGTGTCTCTTCCGTTGGAAGAGGGGGGTGGCACCGCGCCGACCCCCGAAAAAGTGCCGCCCTGACACCGGCTCGCCGTATACCGGCGTATAAGACGACCCCCGGCTTTTCAGAAGATTTTCATGGGTTAAAAAGTTGTCTTATACACCGGAAAATACGGTATATTGAATATGGCCAAAATTGTAGCATTTCAAATATGTGGCAATATATTTGGGAAGAATATTTTTAAAATATATTTCAAATATATTTTTCTTCCATGTGGGAAATAATGGAGCAAGAATGGTTTATAGAAAACCAGAATCAATTACATGTCTATAAACCACTTTAGTGCTATAGCAGATAGGGTTATAATTCTGTTTTTAGGAGGAGTAGAATTTTTGTTGCTGTGGATAGTTTTAGATAAATGGATCTGTGTATAGAATTACACTCCGGTCTTACATTTACAGTGTTCCAGTGCTTTATTTAATTTACAGGATTAAATATATTGTGCTACATCCATAATGTAGTTGAATTTAAAAGATTAATACATTGCAAGTACAGTGGGCTGTACTGGATGTACTACTAACTAAATAAAACATAACACTCATGGGAGCTCCTATTCATGAATATTTGACGCAACAAAATAATGCAAGTTTGTTTAATTCCTCTATAGCCGCAGTGCACGACCCACTTACGGCATGTCCTATCTAACCTTTCAAACATAATACTGCTCTGCAGAGGGCCTTTATATATGATTTAGTAATATATTATTCCTATTTATCCAAATAGTCTTAAAACTTTAATTGACGTGTTTTATTGTCTTGAAAATCATCTTCAGGAATCCTATAATTAACTATAACTCAGTCAAACAACACAGAGCTCTTCAGAAAGCAACGCTAGTGTAATCTAGTTCAAAAGCATAGTACACACTATGAGAAAATTGGATGACCGATCATTCAATTTCCCATGAAAGTGCATATCATGATGTAGTCAGAAAGGTATTGACTTGTAAGAAAATTCTTGTCCGATGAAGGCAAACGTAGGCAAATGTAGCTACTTACTAGTGTAGTAGAAAAGGAAGTGTAGGGTTGTTCTGTGATTCTGATAATGCACATTTTTGTCTATTTGATTATTTCCATACAATTACTGTATACATTAACTTCTTCCCAACCACCTTATAGCAGAACTACTGCTACAGGGCAGCAGGGCTGCGCAAAATCATGTATATATATGTGATTTTCATTTCTGAGTAAAACACACACAAGCCACATAGTAAAACAGCACACAGCACACACATTAAGCCTTTGATTGCCCCAGATGTTAGTGGCAGTTAGTCAGGTTCCCCCCCAGCGTTAGAATGCCTGCCACAGTCCCACAGTCCTGCTATAAGTCGCTGATCGCCGCCATTACTAGTAAAAAAGAAAAAAATTCCAGTATATATACCGCCATTTGTAGATGCTATAACTTTCACATAAACCAATTAATTTACACACATTGGGATTTTTTTTTTAGCAAAGACATGTAACAGAATACACTTTGGCCTAAATTTATGAAAAAATTTGATTTTCAAAATTTTTTTACTGGATATGTTTTATAGCAAAATGTTCAGTCTTTTTTTGTTTATAGCGCAAAAAATAAAAAATGCAGAGGCAATCAAATGCCACTGAAAGAAAGCTCCATTTGTGGGGAAAAAAGAAAAAAGAACATATATTTCATTTGGGTGCAGCGTTGCATGACTGCGCAATTGTCAGCAAAAGTAACTCAGCGCAATATCGCAAAAAATGTCCTGGTCAGGAAGGGGGGTTGTCATGTTTCACATGACAGTCATATGCCTTTAAATGTTTTCTATATTTTGTCTCTGCTTCTCCCTTTCCTTTGGTTTAGTTAATGCTGTATAGATAGCCCACCCCCTTCCCAGTAATGCATTTCCGCAAGCCTCATGAATACACTTCACAAGATCTACAAGATGTCTTCTGGATTGAGTCACTGACTGTGGTATCCAACTGAGAATGGAGTTATCACTATCTCATCACAACTGTAAGTTACAGAGATCACACTTTCAATGCTGCTAGATTGGAGAGACAGAACAGGGGTAAATCCTCTGGAGGGCAAGTGGTTAAACAAAAATCAGACATTCTGTTCACGTACTATAAACATTTTCTAACTTGCACCCTCCAGTTTTTTCATCAGAAAAGTTGGAATCGGCTGTTGAAAGCATTATACTAATGATTAGATAAATGGACGAAAATTTTTGTAAACTTTTCTTATTGTGTGTAAGAGCCATTAGTTCATTTGATTCTATAAAATAGAAGGGCCAGATTTCTGCCTAGGCTATGGCCTTGGGCACCATGGATGCCAGGGTGGCACCTAGGCATCCAGACCAGTTAGAGACGAACTTCACCTGTGTGACAATTTTTTTAATCCCCTCTTACTTTCTTAACTCCTTGGCACTGAGTGCACACAAATATGTGGCCCATCAGGGGCTGGGCCTTGGCGTCGAGGGGCCTTATATTTGCGTACCCAATGCAAACAAAAGATGTGTCGAAAGCACGCACCTAGCACATTTACCAGCTCCTCACAAAAAGGTCCCGATTGCTACTTGCGGTCCGGAGCTTTCTGATCATGTGATTGCCATGACAGCCAATCATGGCGGTCACATGACCATAAACCCAGTCCCGCCTCCCGGCATCACAAACCCCTTAGAGGGCCGGGAGGCGCCAGCACCAAGGGTTTAACTGTGTTATCCACAATCAACATACTCACAGATCCAGCAAATTCATTTTAGGCTTATAGCCTGATAGGCAATCCTTCACATGTCCTCCTATACTCTTCCTGTCTACAATGCATCTCCTGTCCCACCCATTTGTAGATACACTGTCATTATGCTCTGCAAGTGCACGGTGACAGTGGGGGTTATTAACCACTTGCCCTCTAGTGGGGGTTATTAACCACTTGCCCTCTAGTGGGGGTTATTAACCACTTGCCTCAGTGGGGGTTAATAACCATTTGCCCCCTTCCTGACCAGGCCATTTTTTGCGATACAGCGCTGCATTACTTTAACTGACAATTGCGGGGTTATGCAACGCTGCACCCAAATGAAATTTACATCCTTTTTTTCCCAGAAATATTTGATTGCTTCTGCGGTTTTTATTTTTTGTGCTATAAACAAAAAAAATCCCGACAATTTTGAGAAAAAAAAAACAATTTCTTTTACTTTTTGCTATTAAACATATCCAGTAAAAAAAATTTAAACAATCAAATCTCGTTATACATTTAGGCCAAAGTGTATTCTGCTACATGTCTGTGCTAAAGAAAAATCACAATATGTGTAAATTAATTGGTTTGTGGGAAAGTTATAGCGTTTACAAATGGTGGTATATATACTGGAATTTTAAAAAAATGTTTTTTTTTTACTAGTAATGGTATCTATCAGCGACTTATAGCGTGACTGTGGCAGGCATTCTGACACTGGGGGGAAAACTGACTTGGTGTCACTGACATCCTCTGTGACACCAATACAGTTGCAAGAAAAAGTATGTGAACCCCTTGGGATTACGTGGAGTTTTGCATGAATTGGGCATAAAATGTGCTCTGAACGTCATCTAAGTCACAACAATAGAAGAACACAGTCTGCTGAACATAATACTACACAAACATTAGATGTTGCCATGGTTTAATTGCACATAACATGTAAACATTCACAGTGCAGGGAGGAAAAAGTATGTGAACCTTTGGACTTAATAACTGGTTGACCCTCCTTTGGCAGCAATAACCTCAACCAAACGTTTCCTGTAGTTGCAGATCAGACCTGCACAACGATCTGGAGTAATTTTGGACCACTCCTCTTCACAAAACTGTTTCAGTGTAGCAATATTCTTGGGATGTCTGGTGTGAATCGCTCTCTTAAGGTCATGCCACAGCATTTCAATCGGGTTGCGGTCAGGACTCTGACTGGGCCACTCCAGAAGGCGTATTCTGTGCTGCTGCAGCCATTGTTTTGTTGAATTACTTGTATGCTTTGGGTCATTGTCCTGTTGCATCACCCATCCTCTGCAGAGCTTCAGTTGGCGGACAGATGGTCGTACGTTTTCCTGCAAAATGTCTTGATAAACTCTGGAATTCATTTTCCCATCAATGACAACAATTCGTCCAGGCCCTGAGGCAGCAAAGCAGCCCCAAACCATGATGCTCCCTCCACCGTGTTTTACAGTGGGGATAAGGTTTTGATGTTGGTGTGCTGTGTTTTTTTTTCTTCACACATAGTGTTGTGTGTTCTTCCCAAACAACTCAATCTTGGTTTCATCTGTCCACAGTATATTTTGCCAGTAGTGCTGTGGAACATCCAGGTGCTCTTTTGCAAACTTCAAACGTGCTGCAATATTCTTTTTGGACAGCAATGGCTTCCTCCGTGGTGTCCTCCCATGTACTCCATTCTTGTTTAGTGTTTTCCTTATTGTAGATGTGTCAACAAAAATGTTAGCATGTGCCAGAGATTTCTGTAGGTCTTTAGCTGACACTCTGGGATTCTTCTTTACCTCATGCAGCATTCTGCACTGTGCTCTTGCAGTCATTTTTACAGGACGACCACGCCTAGGGAGAGTAGCAACAGTGCTAAACTTTCTCCATTTGTAGACAGTCTGTCTTACCGTGGACACATGAACATCAAGGCTTTTGGAGATACTTTTGTAACCCTTTCCAGCTTCTTGCAAGTCAACAATTCTTGATCGTAGGTCTTCTGAGAGCTCTTTTTCTGTGAGGCATGGTTCACATCAGACAGTGCTTCTTGAAACCAGTAAACCCAAAACAGGTGTGTGTTTTTTTAAGGGCAGGACAGCTGTCAGCAACACATCCAATATCATCACACTATTTTTAGTCAAGGTTGGCTCACTCCTGGCTCCAATTAGCTCTGGGAGAAGTCATTAAGCTAGGGCCTCACATACTTTTTCCTCTCTGCACTGTGAATGTTTACATGTTATGTGCAATTAAACCATGGCAACATCTAAGGTTTGTGTAGTATTATGTTCAGCAGACTGTGTTCTTCTATTGTTGTGACTTAGATGACGTTCAGAGCACATTTTATGCCCAATTCATGCAAAACTCCACGTAATCCCAAGGGGTTCACATACTTTTTCTTGCAACTGTACAGTGATCAGTGCTAATAAAAAGCACTGACACTGTACTAATGGCAGTGGGCAGGAAGGGGTTAACATCTGGTGTGATCAAAGGGTTAACTGTGTGCTGTTTTACTGTGTGTGTGCTTTACTCTGTAAATGCAGTATACAGGAGCTGACAGAGGAGAAATCTGTGTTGTTTATACATAGATCTCTCCCCTGTCAATGATATTCGGTGATCGCTGACGGGGAAACACCGGCCGGGACCCGTTGATTAACAGCTGAGGCCGCGAATGGCGGCACGGGTAGGGCCACGTGCACGCCCACTACCTGAAACTGCAAAATCACATATATATACGTGATTTTGCACAGCCGAGCCACCCTGTAGCAGTATTTCTGCTATAGGGCGGCACAGAAGCTGTTAACTAAACCTGAAGAGTGCAAAATCTGGTGCAGCTCTGTGTAGAAACCAATCAGATTCCAGGTTTTATTATCAAAGCTTAATTGAACAAGTTGAAGTTAGAAGCTGATTGGCTTCCAGAGTGCACCAGTTTCAGTAAATCATCTGTCTCTTTAACATTTGAGCAGCACAAAATTGTTACATTACCATTACTCATCCCAGTCTGTGCAGAGGGGGATTCAGTCAGAGCCATGCCTGGCTGGCCAATCAAGCAAAGTAAATACATTTTCTAGATCAAGTCTTTCAAATATCTGGGACAAGTGGAAAAAGGCTTTCATTTCTATGCCGCGGTTGGAGAGCAATTCTGTTGCGCATGGTGAAACCTCAAAGTTCAGGACATTTTGGAAATTTACAAGGCTCATTTAAATCTACACGTGTTTTATTTTTGGCGTTAGGCCGATGCCATGCATCAGTTTTTGTTCACTTTGATATGTGCATTGATGCATGTTTTCAATGCGTTTTTGAATTTCGAATTTGGAGTGGATAGGGTTAACAGCCATTAAACAAGGATTGCTAATACCTGTTACCAGTGCATTAAACTGCATGTTATCTGCTGTATATGACTTCTATGGGACTCTCAAAGCACTAAAATGCAGAAATAAATCAGATATGTGATAAAACACGCTGAGATGGAAACATACACTGTCTTTATTATGGGTAACAGGAATACATTTTAGCGCATTGGGTTGCATGCATTGGAACAGAAGCATTTGACAGACACTGAGGAGGTGTAATCTTCTCATCACCCGTTTTAACCCTGTAAATGCCATACCGCTCACGTCCGCAAAACGCATTACATGCAGTTGCTAGCAGTTGTGGCATGGCCCCATACACTTATATGGGACATGTTTGGTGGTGGTAATGCCCACAGAATGCAATGAGCTGCTTAATTTTTGCCGCACCCAGCAAAACATCCCAGCATGTGTACAGCTCTGAGCGGCAGTATATCCACATTTACATATACCATGCAGATGTGCATGGCAGCCAATCAGCTTCTAACTTCAGCCTGTTTGATTAAGCTTCAACAATAAAACGTGGTAGCTGATTGGATACAATGCACAGCTACACAAAATCATGTGTGCACCGATTTAATAAATCTACCCCTGAAACTATAAAGTCAATGCTATGGTCAGGGTTTTACAAGGATTTTTGAAAGACCTGGGAAACCTTTGGAGAGAAATGATGTGACACAATGCATGGACATGGCCATATGGCCATTCTATGCAGAGCTGCACCGCATTTTGCACTCTGCAGCTTTAGTAAATGAACTCCATAGTGCCTTGTGTGCAGTAAAAAGTACACATTACTAGAACACAAATTTGCGTTCACCTTAAACATTCTGTGACTTTAGGAACTACTGTAAAAGAGATAATGTAGAAATTATAAAGGCAAACAATCTACACAATTGCAAAAATGAAAACAGATGATCATGCACATGGTATAAAAGTAAACATTCAGTATTCTATTATGGAGAGCATTAAAGTAAACTGCAGAAAATAAATCTGGCTTACCGAGTAGCTCTTCTGATATCAACATTTGGTCTTGAGGACTCAATCTGTCGGACACATTGTGGATCTATGTCATGAAAAGCTTTGGCTTCTTCCTGAGTTAGGGTAAAGCAGCATGGTCCCACTGATGGTCCCAGGACAACCAATATATCCTTCACATCACTCTGGTACTCGGATACCATGGCGTTTACTGTGGCCATTGAAACTCCTAGCAAAGTCCCTTTCCAGCCTGCCAGAAGACAACATATTTGTACACATTTTAGAAAAGTTTATAGTCCCAGAGGTTACATAGTTAGTCTTGCTGTCATTCCCACTGTCAGTGCGATATGGTCATGTCCATGCATTGTGTTACATAGTCTGGCTGAAAAGAGACAAAAGTTCATCCAGTTCAACCATTAAAAGAAAAAGTTATAATCCTACAGCCATAGTTGATCCAGAGAAAGGCAAAAAAAAACCCAGCAAAGGACAGTAAACTGACCCTTTGTTTAGAAAGTTTGGAGATCCCTGCCCTGAAGGCTAACCAAAACCTGTATATTAATACAATAACATACTGTATACAGTATATGGGAGGGAAGGTTTGTGAACCTGAAAAAATAAAAAATTACTTCAAGGTCAAAGCTACAATAATAATCATTCTTTACTGTATCCACATTTTTAAAAAATGTTGGCTTTGTGTCAGTATAATTGTTTCCATGAAAAAAAGAATGAAAACATTCTGAATTACATTAATTTGTTAAAGGATATATGAGATTATCGTGATTGGGTTTAGATACATTTTAAGGTTTATTTTGTATATATAAGTACTGCGGCATATGTGTGCATTGTATACCTGTATAGCAAGTAGGTTGACAATCGAATGAGCATGCCCTTTCAAGTCATTCCCACTGTCAGTGTGATATGGCCATGTCCATGCATTGTGTTACATAGTTAGTCTGGCTGAAAAAAGACAAAAGTCCATCCAGTTCAACCATTAAAAGAAAAAGTTATAATCCTACATCCACAGTTGATCCAGAGGAAGGCAAAAAAAAAACCAGCAAAGCATGATACAATTTGCTCTTGCAGGGGAAAAAATGCCTTCCTGATCCACCCAGAGGCAATTAGATATTCCCTGGATCAACTTTACCTATAAATGTTAGTATCCAGTTATATTCTGTGTATCCAAGAAAGAATCCAGGCCTTTTTTTAAAGCAATCCACTGAGCTAATTAAAGTGTTACTAAACCCAGGACCCTACATTCACTATAACTGATCTCCCACAGTACAGACAACATGGAAGTGCAATTATTTTAGTAAATATAAACCGCTAAATATCTTTTCTCATCAGCAGTTAGAGCAGTCTTGTGGCTTCTATCAGTATCCAGCTGAGCACCAGTTAAAGCTTGTAGCAGGAGTTTTCTTTCTGCTCTAGGAGAACGTGGAACCCCTGACCCTCTGTCTGGACAGTGCTGATTGGCCCTGTGCTGATCACATGCACCCTCCCAAGAAAAAAAAAAAAAAACCTCTCTAGTAATACACACCAAAACTGAGCATGTGTATGTGACCACGGGTTCAGTCTATATCAGGTGGTCATTTCAACAAGAGCAGGGGCAGAGAAGAAAGGATGAAACAGCCTTTTTACACAATGCAGAGGATTAACCCCTTAGGTTCCACGGTGAGTATAACAAGCATGATTTACTGCATATACAGACTGATTTTACTGTTGTTGGTTTAGTAATACTTTAATTACAGTTTGGGAACAATAGCTCAAATATAAATGTAGTCATAAAAATGTTTTTGCACAAATACAAAAGTGCTGTTTTGAGACAATGGGGAGGAGCTGAGATGAAAGAATTACATAATATACAATATTCTTCAAGAAAATCATTGAGGTCCTTTCTGGGCCGCTATTGTATTTTTAAATGATCATAAGAGTTCTATTTTTTTTTAATGGAGTAGAGGTTTACTTTTTGACTGGCTTCACAGCTGTGTATTGTGGCAATATTCATGTTACCATAATACATGGTACTGTGCCATGCACGCGTTAGTCCATATTGGTGCCATTAGTTTTGAATGGCACCCAATTGCACTGATACAATGCATCTGTCTTACAGTGAACTGCAACACTTGGTAATACGCTACTATGTACTGTGGTGTGCTACACTGGGCAAATAGAGAAGATGCAGGTTTGTTCAGTGTCGGTATGTTAGAGGCCCATACTGATGAATGGGCTGCCTGAAATCACTGCACAACATAACACATTATTGCACCACAGATGTGAATGGGGACTAATTATCATGCTTGCTGTAATAGTTGTAGTGTAGCAGACCCTCCAACAATCTACAGAATGTTCTATTCCTGAAATGCTCAGAGTATTATCAATTAGTTACTTAATTTTGAGATGTTTGTGATTGGAGCATTCATGGACTGGCTACTGTAGGATGGGGGGGGGGGGGTCTTAGCCCCCATTCACACTTAGGGGTTGATTTACTAAAGCTGGAGAGTACAAAATATGATACAGCTGTGCATTGTAACCAATCAGCTTCTAGCATCAACTTGTTCAGTTAAGCTTTGACAATAAAACCTGGAAGCTGATTGGTTTTTATGCAGAGCTGCACCAGATTTTGCACTCTCCAGTTTTAGTAAATTAAACCCACAGTGTAAACATAGCCAGGTGATTAAGAGGGGTTTTTGTGCATTTTTCATGTTTTTTGTGAGATTGTACAGAATCACACATTTTTGACCCCATGGGCTTTTAACTGCTTACCGACCGCCCTATAGCAGAACTACTGCTACAGGGCGGCAGGGCTGCGCTAAATCACGTATATAAACATGATTTTATATTTCCGGGTAGGGGGCACATGTGCGTGACACCTTACCCAAGCTGCCATTGGCAGCTTCAGTGCTCGATTACCAGGTCCCAGCCGGAGATTCCCCACCAGCACCCAGCTGTGACAGAAAAGAGGTCTGTATGTAAACAATACAGATCTCTCCCCTGTCAGCTCCTATAGCAGAGCAATACAAAGCAGTGTGCTTACACAGTAAAGCACACACAGAGAACACACACAGCACACAGTTAACCCTTTGATCACCCCAGATGTTAACCCCTTCCTGCATAGTGTCATTATTACAGTGTCAGTGCTTTTTATTAGCACTGATCACTGTATTAGTGTCACTGGGGATGTCAGTGGCAGTTAGTCAGTTCTCCCCCCAGTGTCAGAATGGCCGCCGCAGTCCCGCTATAAGTTGCTGATCACCACCATTACTGGTATAAAAAAAAAATCCAATATATATGCCGCCATTTGTAGACGCTATCACTTTCACGTAAAACAATTAATTTACACATATTGGGATTTTTTTTAGCAAAGACATTTAAGCAGAATACATTTCGGCCCAAATTTATGAAGAAATTTGATTTTTTTATTTTTTTTTTATTGGATATGTGCAAAATTGTCAGTCTTTTTTTGTTTATAGCGCAAAAAATAAAAAACGCAGACGTGATCAAATACCACCAAAAGAAAGCTCTATTTGTGGAAAGAAAGGGAACATAAATTTCACTTATGTACAGCATTGCATGACCATGCAGTTGTCAGTTAAAATAACGCAGTGCGGTATAAAAAATATGGCCTGGTTAGGAAGGGGGATAAATCCTCTGAAGGGCAAGTGGTTAAATAGGAACTCCTGAAAAACAAGCAGAAACACACATTTTTCAGGTGCCCCCATTAAAGTTTATGGGGCCCAAAATGGTCAAGTCTGCTCCAAAGAAGCTAATGTATTTTCATGTGAAAGGGGACGAGCAATAAATCTCTCCGGTGTGACTGGATCCATTGAGATTAATGGGATTCTTTATCTTGAGTGCCCTTGCACTTTCCAGATCATGTGTCAAAACGCTGATATGTGAATGGGGGCTGAGTGTGAGATTGTGTGCTTTATCAATTAAAAAAAAGGTATTTTTTCATTTTGCATGAAAACCGATATGGATAAGAGCTATTTAACCTGGGAGATTGTTGTATCGGGAGCAGCAGGCAGATTTCACAGAAAGCATCCATTTGTGAAGTGCTGTCACTCTTGGTCGCATGCCTTCAGTAGATAAAACTGCAGCTCCATGAAAGCTCGCAGTGCCCTCTTCCGTCGTGTCAGGCCTTGCACATGCTCCATTTGAAATACCTTGTTTTTCACTCCACAACAACAAGCCTTCTAATAAAACCTGTTTGTGTGCTCGTAATGATCAAATTGGTTTAGCAGCATTTTCAGCAGTAAAATGAAGATTACAGGAAAGTCATTTGTAATAAACAGCAGCGTGTTTCGTTGGAAACAAACAAAGGCTTCAGTACCGCCCAAAAAACCATAATGACTTAAACTCTAGATGAGTCAGGATGTGTGCGATCCCAGTAGGACTTTTCTGTTTTATGGTTTTTCAAAGTTATTATTTATATGAGGTGAGATGAGGACAGACACCCCACTGTTATTGAGGAATAGACACGTCTGACAGGATATTTTCCAGCAATGGGATCTGAGGGCCGTTTCACATCTAAACATATTCCTATGCTGCTAAGTGCGGTACAATTTTCGTCCACACCGGATCGCACAAAAAGTAGCACATGCACAACACACGGCACCAAATCGCATGGTATTATGGTACCATGCAAGCGGGTGCAGGCAAAGGCATTGCATTTGATCTGCCTTTGGGGGGTCATTAGGAATAAATTGACACCCGGGGCAGATCACTTACCCAGTGCGTTTTGAAAGCAGTGCAGGAAACGCACAGGGAACTCTGCGTTTTGTGTTAAGCCCAAAAGTAGAACCGTACTTCAGACTTATTTAACAGAAATTGACTTAAAAGCAGAGTTCCACCCAAGAGGGCAAGTTCCGCTTTAAAGATTGGTCACCCACTCCCCGTTAAGGATTGGCACCTTTGGGGAGCGGGAGGGAACGGGTACCTGCTTCCACTTCCACTGCGATCGCCTAGGAGATCGTAAACGGAAGTTGTCCTCCTACACTCCCTCCCCGAAGTCTTGTGGGACACATGACAGGTCCCAGAAGACAACGGGGCCATTCAAGAAGCGCAGCGCTGCTCGTGCATGCGCAGTGGGCACCCGGCTGTGAAGTCGTAAGCTGCCACAGCCAGATGTCCACACTGAAGATGCCGGCGCCTGGAATACAGGACGGTCGGTGAAACGGACTGTGGCGGGGGCAACGCAGGATTGTGGGACAGGTGAGTGGCAGTTTTTGTAGCTGCTGACTTTTATTTTTTTACAGAGTGAGTGGAACGCCACTTTAACCACTTGCCCTCCAGAGGATTTACCCTACTTCCTGACAGGCCATTTTTTTGCAATAAGCCGCTGCGTTATTTTAACTGACAATTGCGCGGTCATGCAATGCTGTACATAAATGAAAGTTTTTTCCCCACAAATAGCTTTATTTCAGTGGTATTTGATCACCTCTTCGGTTTTAATTTTTTTACGCTATAAACAAAAAAAGGTCGACAATTTAAAAAAAAAAATCTATCTTTTAGACTTTTTGCTATAAAATATATCCAATAAAAAAATTAAAAAAATCTAATTTCTTTATAAATTTAGACCAAAATGTATTCTGCTACTTGTCTTTGCTAAAAACAAATCCCAATTTGTGTAAATTAATTGGTTCACATGAAAGTTATAGCATCTACAGATGGCAATACATATACTGGGATTTTTTATTAGTAATGGTGGCAATCAGCGACTTATAGCGGAACTGTGGTGGGCATTTTGACACTGGGTGGGAGCTGATTAACTGACATCCCCGGTGGCACCAATACAGTGATCAGTGCTAATAAAAAGCAGTGACACTGTACTAATGACATGAGGCAGGAAGGGGTTAACATCTGGGGCAATCAAAGGGTTAACTGTGTGCTGTCTTACTGTATGATGTGTGCTGTGTTTTACTAGGGAGACATGCTGTTTTGTATTTCTCTGCTGTGCAGAGAGATACGAAACAGCATGTCCATCATGACAGGAGAGAGACCTGTGTTGTTTACATACAAGTCTCTCCCCTGTCAGCTTTCCCCAAAGATCGCCGAGTGCCGACCGGGAATCACCAGCTGGGACCCAGTGATTGACATCTCTAGCCACCAATAGTGCACACACCCTACTCAGAAATGCAAATCAGGTATATATAGGTGATTTTACACAGCCTTGCTGCCCTGTAGCAGTACTTCTGCTATAGGGCGGAGGGCAACTGATAGTACTCTACTTTCAGACCTTTTTACAAGCCCCTCCAACATTTACAATCATTCTTCTTTCAAACAAAGGTCTTTTTGAGGTGTGTTTGGCGGAGTAGCAACCATCTCTGTATTTATATCACTATGTCTGCATGTTCTGTGCATGTTAAAAGTGTACGGTATTCCAAACAATTAACTTCTTTTATTTGCTCCCGTTTAGTCTGTTAAAGCCTATGGGCAGCCAAAATTAAACCCAGAAAAATCAGCACAAGGGACATAATTTACAGTCAGTAGGATGTGTCCCTTGTGCTGATTCCTCATCTGTTTGTAGTAATCTTGCTCAGTCCTGCTCCCCCTACCCCACAATTGCAATCTTCCAGTGTGAAAGAGATTAATGCAGCTAAAGAGTTGTCACAGGGCCTCATCCAGAGTGCTTGACTATGCCCACCCTTTGCTCCCAGCTGCTCAGTTCATAGAAGCCAGACTACAGCTTCTATGAATAGAACACGATCTATGAATGGAGGTGGCAGAGCTTTCAATCAGCCACCACGTCTAAGAACTTATACACTGCAAAAAATTTTTTAATCTTAGGTTTTAACCACTTGCCCTCCAGAGGATTTACTCCCCTTCCTGACCAGGCCAGTTTTTACGGCGCTGCGTTACTTTAACTGACAATTGCTGGCGAGTAATCACCAGCCGGGACCCGGTGATTGACAGCCGAGGCCGCGAATAGTGGCGCAGATATGGCGCGTGCACGGCTCGTGCACCCCCCCCATCTGGAGATGCAAAATAACATGTATATATATATATATATTATCTGCTATATGGCAGCAGGAAAGCAGTTAATACACTTTTGATGTCTGTGTTGAAAGACTTTTATACATAACAGCCACAAACAGAGGTTAAAATGTGACTTGGCCATTGATCACTGAGCTAGTTTTTCGTGAGCTTGAAAAAAAGACTGAAGATTTAATTTATTTCTGTCATTGGGTACTTTTATTGAGTCCCCAGCCACACTAGGTAAAGCAAAAATGCACCTCCTTGTACGTGTTTTTTGTGTTTTCATACGCATTTCCACTCATGGTGCACAGAGCAGCTCATTCACTTGACATATGTGCAGGACATACGTGCCAAAGAAGAGCTAAGGTGCCATTTTTTGGCACGGAGCCAGGCATATTTGGCAACACGCATTTTGACGCATGACAAATGCACCAAAATCGCAACAAGCACTTTGTACGTTTTGCAGCGTTTCTGAAAATACAGGCAGAAGTACCTGATTCTGCCTCTGTTTTCAGAGCTACCAAGTATGAATGTAGCCAGAATGCTGAGCATGTGCCAAATCCTGTATGGGGTGCAGGACAGCAGGCCATTGGATATTGGCAAGATGAGTGATCGGCACAGCGGGGGGGGGGGGGGGGTGTGGAAGACCTGGAACCAATCCCCTCTATGGCCCTCTCTGCAGCTGCTCAAAGCTGGTTTCTTCTCCTCTCCCTCCTGCTGGCTTTCAGCTGCTACAGAATGAGCCATACAGGGGATCGGTTCCAGTAATCCCCCACGCTGCACCCATCACCCTCCATGTGCACCATATGTTTCCCTCTGCTCCCGTGCCCCCACCAATGCAGTGCTGCCGGCCTCCCTCCTCTCCTCACCAGCAGCTGCAAGCACACAGTAGGATCCTTCAGGATAGAGGCTCCGGGAAGGGTCCGGTAAATATATCACATTTACCAGCCCTTCCTTTCCTGAATGAACACAATGAGTGATCAGTACCAATCACTCACTGTGTTCATTCATAACTGAAGCATCGTAAACTGTGGTTTTTTTAGGGGGCCCTGTCAGGTTGGCTGTATGAGGCCCCATGGTTTCCAACAGCAGCCCTGGTGATTGGTACCAATCATTAATTGTGTTAATTCATAATTGAAGCATAGTAAACTGTGTTTTTTTTTGAGGGGCCCCCTTCAGGTTGGCTGTATGAGGCTCCATGATTTCTAACAGCAGCCCTGGTGATCGATACCAATCACTCATTGGGTTCATTCAAAACTGAAGCATAGTAAGCTGTTTTTTTTTTTTTTTTTGAGCGGGCCCTGTCAGGTTGGCTGTATGTGGCCCAATAGTTTGTAACAGCAGCCCTGGTTGCATCCAAGGTTAGTTAGAAGCTCTATTCACATGTGACTGTTCAGATGGGTAGCTACATTAGAACAGCAGCAACCATTGACTTGTATAGAGTACTGAGTGTGCAGGCAGTGTTCAGAACCACCTGTAAGAATCTACTGATTCTAGCTGGCGGCAGACCCTAGTTGTTGCTATGTGGACATGTGAATGCAGCATTAGATGTTCTATAACTACATTAACCTGTACCATTAGAGAGATTTTAGCACAACAGGGTCTCAGAAACATGATGGGGTTGATTTACTAAAGGCAAATAGACTGTGCACTTTGCAGTTGCTCCAGAGCTTAATAAACGAGGTGAAGCTCTGCTGACTTCCATCATTTGATCATTTGCACACAAAAATGCTGTTTTTTTTTTTTTACCTTGCATGTGATTGGGTATTCTTTATAAAGTACAGCTTCCTCTCATTTGCTAGGCTCTGAAGCAACTGCATTCTATTTGCCTTTAATAAATCATCATCTATGTTTGCCAACAGGCAGGGGCACAACCTAAATAACTGCACCTGGGATAGGAGAGTGGTTTAGAGCCCAATACCTATAGAAGATCACACCCCAGGTAAATATCCCTGGAGAAACTGGTGATCCTGCTTTTTTTTTGTGCATTGGGTCACTTTATGCTCTCTTTATTAAAATGTAGCCTAGCTGAGAATGGCAAACATTTTCTAAAGAAGTGGACTATGTTAGAAATGTGTTAGGTTTCTCCTAAGGTCATGGTTGGCCACAACCTGTTTCATTGATGTAATCAGATGTTTGTGTCTTATGTAATGTAAAATGATCTCATAAGACATGAATGTATGACATGGCGTATATCACATCTAAGAAGATAGACAAATATGATGTTTTTATCAAGTTAGAGAAATACATTGATTTTTAATCTATTCTTTGAAAGCACAATACATTTATTGATGAAGGTAACATAAACGTCCTTTTTATGGTTTCAAATTTTAAAAAAGATTAAAGTGTTACTAAACACAGGACCCTGCATTCACTATATCTGGTCTCTCCCAATACACAGAACATGGAAATGCAATCATTTTTAGTAAATATAAATTGCTAAATACCTTTTCTCATCAGTAGTATATAGCAGTCTTGTGACTTCTATCAGTGTCTAGCTGAGCACTGGCTAAAGCTTTTAGAAGGAGTTTTCATTCTGCTCTGACTGTCCTATGGGGCTGAATAACCCCTGACGCTCTGTATGGACTGTGCTGATTGGTCCTGTGCTGATCACATGCACCCTCCCAAAGAAAAAAAACCCTCTCTAGCCATACACTCTAAACTGAATATGTATAGAGTGACTCCTAGAGCTCTGTTCTATCAGGAGATATATTAGGGACAGTAGAAAAAGAGGAGGATCAGAGAACACAGGTTCAAACAGCCTTTTTACACAATGTAGAGGATTAACCCCTTAGGTTCCACAGTTAATATAGCAAGCATGCTTTACTGCAGATACAGACTGATTTTACTGTTGTGGGTTTAGTAACACTTTAGTTACAGTTTGGGTACAATAGCTCAAATATAACTGTAGTCATAACACTTTAATAGCATTGTTACCTGAATGGACAGCTCCACAAGCTCTTTTTACTGGATCACAGAAAAGAATTGGAATACAGTCTGCACCGGGGGCAGCAATTGTCATTCCTTTCTGGTTGGTGACTATTCCATCATATCTTTCAGGTTCTGTTTTTCCAAGTATTTTCACAATGTCTGCATGGTCAACCTACAAGACAAAACACACTTTTTTACAACTAACCAGAAACAACTGAAAATTTTGAAAAAAAAGTATAAAATTTTGTAAATAAGGTATTTTTTTCTCCTTCACTGATGTGCGCTAATGAGGCTGCAGTGATGGGCACTGATAGGCTGCACTGATGGGCACTGATGACGAGGCACTAGTAGGTGGCACTGATGGGCACTGAAAGGCAGAACTCATATATGGCACTGATAGGCGGCACTGACTGGCACTGATAGGCGGCACTGACTGGCACTGTTAGGTGGCACTGACTGGCACTGGTAGGCGGCACTGACTGGTACTGATAGGCAGCACTGATGCGCACTGATAGGCAGCACTAACTGGCACTGATAGGTGGCACTGATTGGCAGAACTGATAGGTGGCACTAACTGGCATTGATAGATGGCACTGACTGGCACTGATAGGTGACACTGAAAGGCAGCTCAGATGGGAACTGATATGTGGCATTGATGTGCACTGGTAGGCACTGATATGTGGCATTGATGAGGCACTGATGAGCACTGACAGCTAGCATTGATGGGCACTGACAAGTGGCACTGCTTGGCTACACTGATCATCAGGGCACACTGATCATCAGTGCCCTGATGATTAGTGTAGATGTCCCCTCCAAGGAATGCTGATTACCGACTCTCATCTCCTCTCCAGCTGTCAGTGTGACAGCTCATGAGGAGAGAAATGCTGATAACCGGCATTTCCCTGTTTACATGTGATCAGCTGTGATTGGACACAGCTGATCACATGACCGAGCTGGCATCTTCGGTTCTTTCTGTTGATCGGTGATCCACTGTGTCCGAGGGACACAGTGCACCACAGATCACCACGATGTGCGCTCCCGGAGCAGCACATGCGTGGTTAGAGTGGGAGGACTTCATGTGACGTCCTCCCAGAGCGAGAGAAATGCCTTGCGCCCCTCATTACCTTATATGGCGGGCGGGAAGCGGTTAATAAAGTGTAAGCCCTAACAATGAATGTCACTTATTTACTCTCCTTTTGGTATGTTAAATATACCATTGAAAGGGTTTTGTTATATCTCTCTGATAAATTAAAAAATACCTGGTCATCTTACTGGAAATCGTGTGAGCTGATACTTTCCTGAGTTCTCTGCCTGTGCTGACCATGATCAGCAATAGCTATCACTGAGGACTACAAAACCTCACCCCTCTCTGTTATGGACAATAGGAGAGGGTAAGTGAAAGTTGTCATCATGGGACAGGCAGAATCACCAGGTGAAAATAAAAGAAATAAAGCCTGTAATAAGAAAAAGAATGCAGTCTCCACATCCATAGGCCTAAATATATTACATTTTTGTTTTGGGGTTTAGATACAATGAACGTATTTGGATAAAGAGCTGTCGTCATTGCTGTAAGCAGCTTTCTATACTTATACACAGGTAAAATATTTGTCAGCTTTTTACAAGGAACATGGTCTCTATACACATCCATGGTGAACATACAGAGGAGGTTACAGTATGGTGCAATCACACAAACACCAACACACAATTATCGCAGCAAACCATGCAGATTCTTCTCTGTTTTTAAAGCTTTATTTGAAAAGTGACAGCTAGATTAGGATTCATTGTATTGACACTTCTTTTCTTCCTATTCTACTTTTCTATTAGCAGTCAGTAATAGAATAAATGGCCTTGGTTCACAGTAGGAATATTCATCTAAGATCAATCTGCTGTCTGATGTCTGTGACCAGCTTAATAATGGAACTATTGGACTGCTTTGATTGTGATTATAATAGGAAGACCTCTAGAAATGACGTGGTCATTTTATAGAAAATCTTTCTGCACACTGATAATGCTGGCTTATTTACTTATGTCTGGTATAAATATTTCTATTGTACTGTGTAGTGAATGCTTTGTATTGCAATTTGTTTTTAAAGCAGAGCTACACTGCATCTGAGTACCACAAACCAAAACCACTATTTAATTCATTGGTAATATTCAAAGCAAACTCATCTATCCAACCATGTCTCCTTGTTTTCTTATGTTGAGAAATTAACGTAGAAAAACACTCCTAACATCCTGGCCGTGACCATCTTGAATAAGGGCAGATGATTCCTGTTGCATTTACATTCTGGAATCCATCTGCCCTTAGATCAGGCATGCAGACAGCAGGGTGTGTTTAGCTGAGAAAACCTCTCCTCCTGAATTCTCCTGGGATGGATGACATAATTTGCCTAGGCCTGGAAACCAGGAAGTAACTAAAGAAATGAAAAAAAAAGTCTAAAACAGGTAAATATGACATACCTTCCTATCTGTTTACTAATGCTAGCATCATAAGGATTACAAATAGTCGATGTCAGTCAAAATATACGGACTATTTTTTCATCTTTTTGTTATAGTGACCCCCGGCTTCAAAACCTTTTTAGTTACTGACCTGCAACAAGGAGGATGCAGATCAGGAAAGAAAATATCAAAAGTTCTTATCTCCATACTTGTACCAGGTCAGTACTGAATCCAGCGATCCGGACGTCCATACCTTCAAACAGACTGATCAAGACAGATAGCCAGGGGCTAGCGACAACCTTTCAAGTACCTCAACATGTTTTAACAAGAGGTCCAGCATGACAGCCAGATGAATGGAATTTTCAGAAGTGTAGCTCAACAGTGGTAGACCCCATGGTTCTCTTATGAAATGCTACCTAAGGCTCCATTCACTCCTATGCAGTGTGCTTTTTGTCCGGTTTGCAGTGCTTTTAGCAGTTCCTGTTGCATTTTTCTACACACGTTTTTGGAGAGAAATGTCACAGGAACACTAAGGATCTCCAATGTGGGATCAAAAGGGCTTTAATGAAGGTTTACATAGTTATACCAAGGGAACTTTTCGGAGTCTTGCAGGACCCCTTCATCAGGCGTGTTTTTGCCGTGTTTTTACTGCGTTTTGTTCAGCTTTTTTTTTTGTCAAAGTGGAATTGTTTTTGTTGCTGGGCAGAATAAAACCACAAAACGCTGCAAAAACGCACTACCATGCATTTCAGCAGCGTCTCCATTGAACTCTGTTGTAGCAAAAATACTGCTTTTTGGTTTTAAAAAAGTCCTCGACCCTTTCCAAAAATGCAGCAGCCCAAAAAAAACATAGATGTGAACATGTTCCAAAGGAAACCATGTTAAATGGACTGTAGTGCGTTTCTGCAAAAGGCACTAAAAAACGCATTGGTGTGAACGGAGCCTAAGACACATTGGTGTTAATTTACTAAAACTGGTGCACTCAGAAACTGATGTAGTGGCACATGGTAGCCAATCAGTTTCTAACTTCAATTTGTTTAATTAAGCTTTGGCAAAAAAACCTGGAAGCTGATTGGTTTCTCTGCAGAGCTGCACCAGATTTTTCCACTCCCCAGTTTTAGTAAATCAACCCCAGAGAGTCTGATTTACCAATGACAGATAGATTGTTCACTTTGCAAGGGAATTTCCCTTAACTTGCTAAATGCGGTGAACATTTACTTTGAAAGCATACCCAATCACATACTAGGAAAAACAAAGGATTTTTGCTTGCACATGATTGGATGCTGGAAGGCAGCAGAGCTGCTCCCCATTCAGTAGGCTAGGGAACAATTCTATTGCAAAGTGAACAGACTATCTCATTTTAATAAACTGACCCCTATATGTGACAATGTAGCTTACCTTTATTGAAATATAAGTCTGAGGATCGAATCCTGCAGCTTTTCCCAGGCGACGAAAGTTCTCCTCAACAACGGCTTTTGAATCTTTCCTCTTTGGACTGCAGAAAAGATTCAATCCACTAAGAGTTGGAATGATGCTTATACCGCCACTTCTTGTCGTAAAGCCATGCAGAAAGGTCTCTTCTGTAACAAAAACAGTTGCAAGCAGACAGCTCCAGTGATTATGTGACATATAATATAGCTAATGTTATTAAAAATTCTAAAAATGAAATGTAGGACAATGTTATTTTTTCCCTAGCAGTATATCAACTTTCAACAGTAAAACAAATCTCAAAAACATCAAGCAAACTAAAACATGGCTTTGGAACAAGATCATAATGGTAATGATGCTACTAATACTTTAGTTAGCTCTGCCTGGACGGTAGGTGACCAGAAACCATTCAAGTCATTATTTAGTGGTCTTTGCTTTGTTCTCATTAAACTAGTTTTCAGATTGCTCATTTATATGTCTCATTGGAAGGTTATACCCAACTTGATTGCAAATGGGGCACTGGATTTCTTACTTTCAAGATCAAGCATTTGTTTTCAGACATCTGTCATGTCTAGATGAAACTAATTCCTAATAAGCCTTTCATTATATAGCTATATGTACACAGTACAGGGGCGGACTGACCATTTGGAAACTCGGGCACTGCCCGAGGGCCTGGGGTCAGTAGGGGGCCCCATGAGATGCCCCTGGTACCTTTTCATAGGCTTTTTTGAGTTTGAGCAAGGACACAGGGGCCCCATGATCCCCTATTGCCCGGGGGCCCCATGAGTTGTCAGTCTGCCCCTGACACAGTATATATAATTAAAATTAAATAAAAGACCATAGCACACTTTTTTGAGGAAGCATAGGTTGTATTAACAAAAAAAGAAAAAAAAAAAAACAGAACGCTCTTGTCTTTTTCCTCTTTGAGTTTTCCCCATGCACAAATATACAAGTAAAAGAAACAAAAAAACAAAAAAGCGCATACAGATTCCCCAAATCCTAATGTCAAGAGACACAAAATAAACGTGTGGTTTAGCACATGCTCCGAAATGCTTCACCTTGCATGCTGGTCCCTCCCACGTCATCATGCTGACGCCAACGTTGCGCTCCAAGGTGCACTCCAGACACCATCTTCAGAGGCTTCACATGCCGGCCGGCTTCTTGTGACATCCACAGTCTCTCTTAGCGTGGAACCGGTCATTACCTTACTTAACTGAGCTTTCTTACGTTTTTCACCATGCGAGTGCTTTTTGCATTGCTCCCTAATAAATGTTTTGACATACAGCACTTTGAGGCGCTTTTTTCTTCCTTTATCTTCACAAATATACAAGTACAATGATACTTACCTACCAAAAATATAGCAGCTTTTACAGGAGATACAATTTACTTGGAGAAAAGCTGCTGCTTTTAATACACCAGATTTGGGAAACATAATTTATCATTTCAACCTGTTCAGCCATTTCTGCTGAAGAAGCTTATAGACTGCTACATTTGCACTATAAAGGCACCCAAGTGCTTGAATATCATTTGCAGCTGAACAGCACCATCTACAGGACAGATACAAAAATGCAGCTACCAATTGTACTGCAACTGTACTAGATTACAAGTTTTCATTTCAGAGAAATAATATGAAAAGGATATAATGACCAAATAAAATAAATGGTGGGAGTTAGTAGAGTCTGAAAAAAGGAATTTGGGTTAATATAAGACAGGAAACTGAAGAATTATGATAAGGAAATAATAGTAAATATATGAAATGATTCAATACAATAAAGAATGTACAGTAAACATGGCAAAAATGGTAAGCTGGACCTATATAACTTAACAAGGTTTTCTGATTTACCATTATACATTTTACAATGTGATTTAGTGGAGATAGAAGATTAGTAGGAGTGTATATATTTTTTCTTCCGCCTGGAAGGGTACTGTGAAATATTTTATTTTGATAGATATTTGAGCCTTTTAGTGCCCACGATGACCCTTAATATCAATCCATGCCTTTGGGTTGTGGTATGTGGCCAGGATACTGACCCTACCCTATACAAATCTCCACTCAGGCAGAAAGTGTGACCAACAGCAGCTAAATACATACTTACTGCCTGGTTGTTATCTATTATTATCTACCTATAATGAAGGCAGTTGTATATCTGTTCTATCATTTTGTATTTTTGCACTAATTCCACATTGCCTTATAAGGTTATACATCTGGCATTTTTATGACTTCCTCTAATTTTCTACATTATAGATTTTATAATGTAGTTTATTTTTAGTTATGAATAAAAGTGAAGTTTTAGGTCATAGTGGGTTTGACGCGTGGGTATAGTGCACCCTTGCTGATATTTTTCTATTAAACCCGGCCGTACGCTAGTAGAAATTTGACATTTCCAGAACATTTGCTTGATTTTCCAATTGTTTATGAGGTCAAATTGATTGCATCTACAAGAAAATTCAAAGGAGCAGAATGGAAATTTTTTCTTGAACAAATTAATTTCTAACACTGAATGTGGTTTTTGTTCAGGAAAGTCCATTCATTCCAAAACCAAATCTTATAACCACGCAAAATACTTTTTTGAATGATATTCGTTAAGTCATCGAAAGTACTGATAAGAATTTATGTACGAATGTTGGTATGAATGTTCATTCAGAAATCTGCTAGCATATGACTAGCTTAAAAAGGGATACATCTTTCAATTCGTAACAAAACAGATGCAAAGGTGTAGCTGTAAGCTGCCATTGGGGTTATTTACTAAAACTAGAGAGTACAGTATCTGGTGCAGCTCTGCATAGAAACCAAATTCCAGGTTTTATTGCCAAAGATTAATTGAACAAGCTGAAGTTAGACCCTGATTGGCTACCATACACAGCTGCACCAGATTTAATAAATCTCCTGCATTGTTTCCACTGTTCATGTGTGATGCTTGGATAGAGAAATCACTTTCATTTTCTCTACAAATCATGGTATGTTTATATAAACCTACTTGTCATGCTTATAAATGACTAATTATTGCCCAACCAGACAAGTGTTACAGAAATAGAAATGACTCTGTATTTATGAAGTCATATTGTGGTTATGAAGTTATGTAACACATGTTCAAACGTATTAAAAATGCTGCGAAAATAAAATTTAGCACTGCCATTTCCCCTGGCTGTGACTCTGGGTATAATTATGGGAAGCCTTATGCAACCAGGTAATCCTGTTCTTAATAATATTCCTGTAAGGTGCTGTTACAGGAAACAGACATAAGTGTATTTCCTTAATGTAAACTGTGTGACATGCATTGACTCATCAGCCTGGAAGATAGTTTACTTCACCTTGGTAATTAATACCATTGGATCACCAATATTTACATGGCCAGGGGCAGGGTACAGCCCCAAACATACACCAGGTTGCTGCTGCTTGAGCCTGTACACATAGAACAAAGCTGCTAATAGAATAATTTGCACTTCACTATAGTTCCAAGTGTACTGGGAAGCAGAGGACAAGCTGTCTTTTTCATTATCTCTATCCTTAGTTTTGGTGTGCCTTATGTGGCTATGACATCTAATCCTGTTAGTTTGGCATTATGTTAAAATCTAAGTTTAGTCAAGAAAAAAAAAATCAGCACAAAAGACCTTACTCAATAATCAATCTATTGTGTAGCTTGTACTGTTGGCTCATTGAGTTGTAGAAATCTTCCTTCTCAGATCCACCCCCACCTCCTATGGGGGCTAATAAAGCTGATGGACCTGTGACAGGTGCTTAAAATGAATGAAAAGTGATCTATAATTAGAGGAAGAATGAAAGGTCCACCCATCTTATCCATTGTTAGATTATGTTTCAATAATGGAAACATCTATGAATGGAGGAGGTAGGCAGAAAAGGCAAGCATAGACCTCTCACATTTATTAAACCCTGCCACACCAAAATATTACAGCAATGGGGAGCCAGCAGCACATCAAACTGATAGTAAGTAATGTAATTTCTGATTTATTTTTTTTTGTACCGAACTTAGGCTTTAAGGTGGCCATAGGGTTAGGAAGGATGGTTAGAAAGGATGAGGAATAAAATCCTTGGTCTAAAGAGGAAGGAAGTATATATTTGCCCAGGAATCATGTCCACTCATAGAGACTATGCACCTTAATACGGTACTGCTAGATCTCATTAAATATAAGATAATATTTACCTGGAATGAGCTGTGATTTAAGAATAACTAGGTCCCCATTCAGACCGGGCAAGTTTTGAAAATATGTCTGCACGTCCTTCTTTGCAATCAGTTTATAGTCCTCATCAGAAATTCCATTGCTGGTTTCTTGGGCATTACATGGGGATGTAATGCTATCCATCTCACAGTGCATTTTATAACATTCTAGCATACATGTATAGACAGCAGTAAACACATTTTCTACATAAATATCCATTTGTATCCTCCTTTCCTGAGGCAGAATGAGGAGAATCTTGTTTATGTCTAGTGCATCAATTTCTTGTTTAATGGAATAAAGTATTGCAGCCATGTTGGAGTCTTTCACCACCTTATATCCATTTTTAAAGTTTTCAAAATGTGCTTCTGTGGCCTCAGATAATATATTTGGATTACTGTCCTTACAAGTAGGTTTCTGGTAGCACATAAAGAAGGTAAATGGAACATTTGTGCTATATCGTTTTTTGATGATACTCCATATAGGGTTCAAAGCTTTATGTTTGTCTAGGTCTATGTGATACCCTGAATCAAACAGATCTATCAGAACCACCTCTTCATTGCTGCTTTCTTCAACCATTATAGACCTGCAACAGGACAAAGATGGCAATGTTAGCGCTGGTAACATAATGCAATATATATAATACAGTTATATTCTAGTTCAACTAAAACTATAAATAAGATAGTAAGCAAGGAAATATTTCAAGGACACTGTCAGCCATAGAACGTATAGATATAGGAACCTATCATCAAATGTAATTTCACTGAATGACAACATGCGAATAAAGATACATCAATTTCAATTCTATTAAACGCTTTTTCAATCAATGCAAAGATTCATGGAACACACATTGTTCGATTCGGAAATATCCCAGTTTATGTCACCATTCCTTTACACCGAATGGTACACAAAAATGAATCAATCTAACTCTTTAGGCAGATTAAGAATTCAATAGTGATGTGTTGTTTTAATTGCATGTATTGTTGTTTCTGAATTGAGTTAAACCGCTAATTGCAATCAGCTGT